TATGTCTATAATTGTAGTTGTGTAACACATTATAATAAGAAGGCGTTTTTAAATTTTATAAAATATGGAATTACCTTGTATTATTTGAATTCATATAAATAAATATCAGTAAATTTAAACMAGGGTAATGATTTAATTAATTGGTACACTTAATTGGTACTTATTTTAATGATGTCAAATGTTTATTCAAATTAATGAAAACAGTGCAATATAAATATTAAACTGTATTTAAGTGTTAAAAATCATTAAATGTTTTCTGAGTGTATATTATCAATTATTAGACTTGGTAACAAACTAACAACTTGCAAAGTTTGTAATAATTTTTATAAGTATACATAATAATGTTACTCTGTGTTGCTGTTATTGACAGAGGTAACTACGTCATAAGTAACACAGAAAAGGGTGAATAAAACTGTTATGCAAATATAATTATTATTCAAGTTTGTATATTATGCCAATTGAATTGTTAAATAATAAAATTAATTAATAATACAGTTGTCAGTTAGTATTTGGTTCATAAATAATTTGATTTAAATTTTAAATTGCATATTTGATATGCATCACATATTATATTATATCGATATTGAATAAAAGAGTTCAAGCCACAAAAAGCCAAAAGAGTTATTTGTTACAATTTTATTATATTATCCATAATATTCGACCACTTAATTATTTTGTAAACGATTTCATCTATATAACGTAATATAGCAATCACTATGAGAAATTATTTTAAAAATAAAGACGGTCATTTAACCGCAATATGTTATATAATAGAAAAGATCCATAATCAGTTTACGTACGTTTCGACCTTTTTTACAAAGAAATATTATTAGGTATTCCCGTTTGATTTCATGTAAAATAAATATAACTAACATATACATTGTACAGTAACAGTATTACATTATGCATACAGCCAGTGACGGTCCTACGGACGAGAAATGATGGATTGATCCCCCTTGGCGTAAATTATATTACAACAAAAACCAGAAAATATTTTATCTTTGTTAGATAGTTAATGTTTTACATTATTTTATGTTTTTCTTATGTGAAAAACATTTCACCCCTCCCCTTGGAGTTTGTTAAGACCACCACTGCCTACAGCACAGCTTTTCATCGGCGCTTCTATAATGTTGGCGTAAATATATATTTGAATTTATAAATTTTGTTCATAAATTAATTTTGTCTATTCTGACGACGGTTTTCCAATACAATAACACATTTTAATACATAATTCAACTTTCTAATATCCATTTCATATACCTGCATATAAATATAATTAAAAATAATAATTTCCAATACAATAATTATAGATGTCTCACAGACACTACTATACTTACTATAGCTTCACGCTATAGTTAAATAAATTGTTATATGGACAATACTTATATAATCTTGATTACATAATATTACCAATTAATTATTTGAAACCAAATCTATTCCCTTCGGTCACACACTAAATAATATGTCTAATATTATAAAAATAAAGTGTACGCGAAAAAATTAAAAATCTCATTATATTCGTATCATGTTAAAAAATGTGTAAAAAATTATCGAGTGGTCGGGAATCAGACGTTCAGATTTCTGTGATCATGGAAGGCTCGAAATCGCCCTGCAGGAAATTCTGTTGGCCGTGGACGGAGAGTTCGGTTGATTTCCGGACCCCGGTGGCAGCCGACATGGTGGACGGCATCAGTTCCCTGTAATCGTGCCGCAGGACCTCGATATTCTCCCGGGCCACGACGAAGTCTTCTTTCTCCATGCCCTCGCTCTCGTACCAGTGGATGAACGCGCGTTTGCGGAACATTAGGTCGAACTTCTCGCACAGCCGCGTCCACGCGCTTGCTATGGCCGTCGTGTTGGACATCATGCACACGGCCCGGCCGCCGCCGCCCACCAGCTCGTCGTCCGGGGACATGGCGGCCACGGGCGGCCGGCAGTTGATGCCCACCTTGAACCCGGTCGGACACCACTCAACGAATTCCAGCCCCTTGGTGTCCCGGATATGTCGGATGGCGTGGTTGATGTCCTTCGCCACCACGTCACCGCGGTACAACATGCAGCACGCGATGTACTTGCCGCTGTCGTACTCTTGGTCGCTAAGCTTGAACAGCTGGTTGCCGGGTTCGAAACAAGCGGCCGTCAGGTCTACGATGGGTGGCCGCTGGTGCGAGGACCGCTGGGCGGATGTGAACGGCGCGTACGCCAGCAGCGGGAAGTGGACGCGCGGGAACGGCACCAGGTTGGTCTGGAACTCGTTGATGTCCACGTTGAGCGAGCCCGGGAACCGCAGCGACGCGGTAATGGACGACACCACCTGGCTGATGATGCGGTTCAGGTTGTGGTACATTGGCCGCTCAACGTCCAGCTTGCCGGCGCTGATGTCGTATATCGCCTCGTTGTCCACAATGAACGCGCAGTCGGTCGTGTCAAGCGTCTTGTGTGACACGAGCAGCGCGTTGTACGGTTCCACCACGGCCGTGGACACCTTGGGCGCCGGGTACACGAGCACCTCTAGGTTGCTCTTCTTCGCGTAGTCCTGGCGCAGGCTCTCCGACACCAGGCTGGTCAAGCCCGAGCCCGTGCCGCCGCCCATCGAGTGGAAAACKATGAACCCTTGCACGCCCTCGCTCGACTCGGCGAACAGCCGGATGCCCTCCAGCACGTTGTCCAGGTACGACCGGCCCTCGGTGTGGTAACCGCGCGCAAAGTTGTTTGCCGCGTCCTCTTTGCCCGATATCAGCTGGTCCGGGTGGTACAGGCCGCGGTTCGGCCCCGACCGGATCTGATCGATCACCGTTGGCTCCAGGTCCACCATGACCGTCCGCGGAATATACTGTCCGGACATCGTTTCCTTGTAAAACGTCGAGTGTTCCGCGGGGCACGCGGCGTCCGCCTCCGTCATCGCCGTCAAACAGCCGTCCCGCCCGATCCCGTGCTCCATCCCGTATAGGCTCCACACCGCGTTGCCCATCTGCACGCCAGCCTGTCCCACGTGCACGGTGATCACTTGACGTTTCTTGATGTCCATGTCGCTGGTGTCGTTATTGTGGCTCTGTCAAGTACGTTTTGGTAAACGGGTGTTCGTGTGTGTTCGGCGTTGGTCGTCTGTATTTATAGCCGCCGCGGATTATGTGTCTTGCAAGTCGCGTGAGTGTTCGAGTGTAATATATATATTATTATGATATATTATTCGTGTTGTATAGAAGRCTGTGTGAAAAATTATGCACGACGGTTATTAGGTTAAAATTTTGATTTAAAAAATTTTGATCGTTCGAGATTTGTATAGTGAACGTGTCACTGTTGTGTTAATAATGAAACGATTTCAGTCGACGGTCAATATTGATTTTATCGAGCCACACGGTTGTTTTCAGCCAGCTATTTGGAATAATTGGAATAATTGGAATAATATAACATATTTGTTATTTTAGTATAATAATAAGTGATGCCGATTTGCCTGATGTATACTGAGGTTTGCCGTCTTGGATAAAAAGTATATCGTAGGTCCTCTAGTCTTTTTTTTCGATTTATTAAACCCACTTTCGTGTGTTCTCTCGTATTCAGACATTTTAATATTAATTTTATACTATAATAATGTAAACATGACCATTTTTATGAGTTATATATTATGATTATGAAATAACTTTAAAAATGTATATTATGATAATTTGATACTAGTAGTAGAGTATAAGATCATACGCCCACAGAATAGTTTTGTTACGTGAAAAATTTTTAAATATTTTAATTTTTTTTTTTTTTTACTCCTAATTACTCACTATTTTTTAAATTCAAAATCAATGATAAAATACCACTATAATAAATAATGATAAATCAAATTTACCAATAGTATTACATATACTAATAAAATAAACAGTGATTATATGTTATTAATTAATACACATCTAACGTAAAATATAGATTTAAAGACCTGCCTAGAATTTGTTTCTCGTAAAGTTAACTATTCTGGTTTAACGATTGACGATAAACGATATAATACGATTTTATGCAGAGTATAAAGGAGGTTAATAATAATTAAAATAATAATAATAATAATGATAATGATAATTAAATACGAAATAATTTTAACGATAAAGACTGTATTATAATTTTATAATCTATGATTTCAATCATCTTAGTACGGTAAAATGTATACCATGCTCATGCGCACCCATGACCGTGTTCGGAAATATTTCCTAAAATACTCAAAACCGTAATCGAGGCTTAATTTATATATTCATTCATATAGTTTATTTAATCTGATTTCTRTAAGTAATTACGAATTACGATAGCCAGTAGCCAATAGGTATGTAAAGACATTGAGTGTAAAATGTAAATATAACAGTAATATTATTTTTTTTTCTGAAGATCTTATATTTGTACATCATTTTTACTTGCTGTGATACGTGTACAGGTTATTAAAATAATAATAAAAAAAAACCTAAAATATTACAAAACAATCGTATCCATACATTTGTGTAGGCCCCAAATGTTCGTAATCCATCGTAGGTCTAGGCACAGTGCCTATAGTGTAATACTGTAATAAGTACCAACTAAAGATTCATTTTTCTGTCAGAAAAGATGCTGATGTCGATAATTGGAGCGTTTTCTCTTTCTAAATGTTTATGACAGTCAACAGACGGAAAAAACACACATAATTGTAAATACAATACGTTTATTCGCTATGGTTAGAATCTAAAAATATAATTATAAAAAAATTGTAAATAATGAATGGAACAAGGCGTGCAATAATTTGTAAATTATCTCTCGTATCACATAATCTTATATTGAATAAGACATAATGGTACTRGAACGTGGTCGGGGATGACCAGTTAAATATAATATCATATTTAGGGAAGAAGTTGGTTTCTTTTGAATATATTTTTAACCGTTACTCGGGAACACGAAGGTTATTCAAGATTTTAATATTACAAATAAATACAGATTAATCYAAATAATTGTTAACGCATATAAAAGTTTATAATTGCTTACTAGCAATGTTTCCCAAAATGTGGGACTGTCTAGGAGTCCAGGTTTGCGTGATGATAATCGCGGAGAACTGTCGTTCTTTAACATATTCATATTTGGCCGTAGCTATACAATAATATATGTGTGACAAAACAGGAGAGGCTTAATATATAGGTATTCAGGATGATATTTATGTTATGTATATGATATATATATATATATATATATATATATAATATATAGGTTATCTATTATGTATATTATGTTAATATAATTTAAGTTATATGATATGACAATCGTTGCAGTACCTATCACCTATCAGGCATTATTAACTTGTTTTCGACATTTCATTTATTTTTTCCAGGCCGCATTAGTGTCATGCGTACAAACATATCGGTTTATAAATTGTAAGCTACCGCGCCTACCAACGTGGATATGAAATAAAAGTTTTCGGATTTTTCTATTCAGCCCATCATTGCAGTCCGTCACACATCAAAACATATGTGAAGGTACTTGACACGTTAACGCAATTGAAAACGTGTATAACTTTGTCCTACAGGAAACTTATTAAAAGTTCAAAGCAAGTTATAGTTGAATAAATCGATTTGCTGATATCTCAATATAAATAATTAAGCGGCAGATATTGCAGCAGCCAGCAAGTACTGATTATTAGTTTAAAATTTCTTCATTCTTGTAATCGRATTTAATCCCTAACTAAAACCTTATAAATTGGTCTAACAATCTAAATTGAGTACGTGCTAAAAATCTTTTTAACCAAGTGCGTATATTATATACCCAATTGAAAAAAAAACGCTTTTCCGATATAACTTCAACGCATTGACAAGTTCATAAGGAAATACGCGTAAGTTTATATTTTAAGTGGATTTGGCTTTTTCCAATTATATATTATTTTCATAATCCTCCTCATCATACGATATATTAATATGTCACTTCCACGTGCGTTTTAAAAGGGTTGATATCCAAATCAGTGAAAGGTCGTGGCTAAGCGGTTAATCCCTTCAAACTACAATTGTCTATTGTGTCAGTTAAACACGTCCGTAAAACCAACACTCAAAGTGTATACCTAATATTATTGTCCTTTACATCTTTTTCGAACGAAAAATAAAATAAAATCAATAATATCTAAAATTTGGCGAAAAACATAATATCTTAACCAACGATTATATAAATACTAATGGCTACCTAGTACCTACTGAGTAATGAGTAAGAGTACTATATATAATATTATATAGTACSTACCAAGTACTTTGTAATAGTAATATTTATTATCATTTCTATTACCAAGTAGAATTTAAATTTATCGCATGTTGTAATATTTCGTATGCTAAACACGTCGATKTTATGTAAAATGTACATGATAATTATTGATAATATTTCGGACAGAGGTTGATCAATGATCATATACAATGCACAGTGCCGTAGAAACCGCCGGTGCAGGCAGTGYAGTGCACCGGGGCACTTGATCTTAAAAGGGCCCTACGCCCTTACCGATTATCTATAATAGTATAATGTGACCTAAAATATACAACAAAGAAAAAAGAAAATTATGTTATAACATTATGGGGCACCTACACCAATTTGCACCGGGGCACACAAGTATCTAGCTACGGCACTGACAATGCACACATTATCATTCAAGAGGACGCTACACCCGCATGTGCTGTCTCCGTCTAACAAGTGCATAACATAACATATTTAACGCTCAGAAGATCACGTTTAGTTCCGTTAGTTTAATATTTAGAGTGAATTGACTTGTAATAAAAATTATAAGTACATTATTATCTAGAGCTTCTGTCATAGTTATGAGTATTATAAAATCGTAAATTGTTTGTATATCTTAAAATACTCATAACTCACTTTAAAATTAAAATATTATAAAAAGCCTTGGATGAAAAGCCCTAGATAATAATGTTACCTTTAATTTTTATTAGAGGTCAATTCACTCTAAATATTAAACTAACGGAACTAAATTCCCTGTTTCTATAAAATAGCATCCTGACATAGGTACTGAAATATGAACACGACAGTGTAGTAGTGTAGGWACATACTATATAATATACAATGTATTTTGTTTGGAAAAAAAACAATAATTTTTATACAGAATAAACATTATTATTATTTTTTTATAGCATAAATTATRCTCGAGTTGTATAGTTACCGCGTGAATTTCTATAGTGGATTGAAAGTTCAATAGGTTTAAAGCCGTTATTACTGGTCAATATAACATTTTATATACCTGTCACTATTATAATAGTATATGGCAGCTATATAATAACACTATATACTATAATAATAATAATATAATAACACTATATATAACGTGCCAAAGTGAAACCATCCATTTATCCACTCGAATGCTGAAAAAAGTGTTCCGTGTATTGTTGAATACAGGCAATACAGCAGAAATATTTTCAAGACATCTTAAAAGGAGTTAGTTGTAGTGGTGTCATTTGGGGGGGAGGGGCAGTGTGGCTCTCTTAGCGGGCCGTTGTCTGGCCGGATATGGGCCGCAAACCCGCAATATTTAACATTTCAAATTATTTCATTAGCTTCACTAATAKATTTAACAGGACCGGCGGAAGGGAGGAGGCAAACTCGGTACCCGCCTAGGGTCTCGCGCTTTTTGGGGCCCCGTGCTTTATGGGGGCTTGTATTTTTAATTTTTATATTCTGAGCGGATAGGTATAGTGATAAGCAAAAAAAAAAATGGCTAACATCAACAAAATAGATCATATAATGTGTAAAAACTTTTTTCTGGCCCCTCAGGAATATTTTGTCTAGGGCCTCGCAAAACATAGCGCCAGCCCTGAGATTTAAACTAAACTGTTGACATGTTTGATGCTATGAGACTAGAAGATACCCAGTTACTGCTTAGCATCTAACATTCTAACTATCTTAGTAACACTTTAAAAACATAAATTACGCGCGAGTATTAATAAATTATTGTATGATGTTTTGTTTCAATTTTTGTAAATACATTTATACTCACATTTGGGGTACTATTTACCGTAAATAGAACATAAATTGGGGGGAAATACCTCTCAA